AGGGCGGGCGACTCTTCCTCCCAGTCTCGCTGGAGACGTGAAGCCAGCGCTGGTCCTGGGGTGTCGGAGGCCTTGGGGCGAACTCAAATGAATGTCTCCAGCGTCGACATTGGGGAAAAATTGATTCCATACATCGATAGAAAAAATTCTTGCAAAGCTATAGTAAACAATGATAATTTTCGATGGTAAATAATATATCATAATAGCGCCTTACTTCAGATATAAATACAATATCATAGAATTTAGAGCATAACAAAAAAAGAAGTGACGTGCTAATGAATTCAAGCCTCTGGTAGTCATGAGAAATAGCTACTTCATGCATTTTTTATGGAAAATCATTAATGATAGTGTCAAGATCAATGTTGGCCAACACATCCTTCTCAATACAACATATTGCCAGACCATTCAGTCTTTCTTGAAATAGTTAACCTCAAATAATTTTCCATTAGCTTTCAATTTTGAAAAAACATGTTCAACTATTGCTCTAATAAACTCAAATATATGATCAGCTGGCATGAGTGTATTTGATAGTGCCATCAGCAACACTTTCAATTCAGAAACAAAATCATCTAAAACATCATGTGCTGAGTGAGTAGTCATGAGAAAAAGTCTTTGCAAAATTAGGACAACATCTTCTAGATTAAGATTGGAGGGTTAAGAGAAATTCATCGAGGGATTTACCTCTGCTATTCCTTGTAAGCAGGCCCTACATGAGAGCATCCGGTAGCCGCTGCAGCAGAGTCGAAGATTCGCGGTCGCCCGATCTGTACGGTACATCGGCGTGCAAAACTACAGATTGGAAAAGGGCAGAGAGCGCAGATTCACTCGCCCCGTGCGGGCATGCCCGCTCATCTTCTTGATTTCTCAGCCACCGCGGAGGCGGTTCCTGCCCGTACTTCAACGGGGTTGAGTGGCGGCAAAGGAGGCTCCATTTAATACTTTCGTGACTACACAGGGTTCAGGTTGGGAGCTCGAAGCCGTGGTGGAGGGAGGAGCGGCGACTTGCTCGTAGTACAGGACAGTGGCTACATCTACATGGGAGAGGCAGTGGAGAGGAGGAGCAGCGTGCTCGGGCTGGCCGGTGGCTAGAGGGGAGGGGCAAGGGGGGAGGATGCGTGCGTGGGTGCTCGGGGAGGGGGTTACGGTCAGGGGCTCAGGGCGAAGGGGTACGGGATAAGGGGTCGTGGGTTAGTGGCTTCGTTAGTAGCCCCCTTCGTTAGTGCGCTCAACATGCGTGGCTTGTTAGCGTTAAACACCGGAGGATTAGAGACCATTAGATATTGTAGATGGATGGGTCTGATTGTTTGGATCTGCCCCCTCTCGTGCTTTTATAGGGGTAGTAGATGCAACGTAAGGACGTAATGCCTGTAGTGAACTTATGGATTCTGGCCCTTTATTCCTTATAAATACAACCTCATTTGCTTTTTTATGTTCTTTTATTTACAATATGAAACTTTACTTTCTTCGCATACAAAAACCAATTTCAACCACAGTATACATTAATTCTTGTAACCAGCAAAGTTAGTGGGATTGACAACCCCACAAGTTTAAGTTGGGGATTAAGAGATGTTTTTTAAGTTGTGTGCAAGATTGATCATTAACTCATGGAAAAACTTCACTGATTTGATACATTGGTTCTTAAATAAGGAAAACTTACTTCATACTATCAACCCCCGCTTAAGGGCCCAACGGATATTCATCTAACATGTACATCATATTTTTCAAGGATATCACAAAGTAGTGGAGTACTCAAAACTCATCTTGGAGTAGTGAGGACCGATGCTTGTGAAGATGGCGGTGAATTCCCCCTTCGAGGGAATACCTAATAAGGGTTGAAAAAAAAAAGAATCGTGTCAGCACGTGAAGTAGCAACGACAGAAAAATGCCCGATAACTATGACAAGAGTTTTCAAGATATTTTATAGACTCATGGAAAAATTAGGACACTGGAGAGATTTGGTTGGCCCAGGTGCCCTAAACTTCTATGCGCCAGGGCCTCCTCAGGCCGCCTCCTTCTGGCACAATGGCTCTTCTAGTTAAAAAATGACATGTTAATTTTTCACAATTTATGGAGTTTTATATTTATTTTATTTACCCCAAAAGTCAAAAATAGCAGAAAACAGAAGCTGGCACTAGGCACGGACCTAATAGATTAGTCCCAACTAAACTTTAAAAACATTGCAAAACTATGGATAATAGACATGGAGCATAAAAAAAAAATAGATATGTTGGAGACTTATCGCCCTAATCCCTCTATTAATACATTTTTCCCTAGCGACCCAATGAATAAGTAAATGTACTAGCAAATAAGAGCTACTCTTCTGAAAGTGCCTTTCTGCTCCCGAGCTCATTTGAGCTCGGTGAACAGTAAAAAAAAAATCCAAATTCTTTTTGGAGAAACATTGACAAAAGTTCTAAGTGCTTGCAAAAAACATCATGAAATCACATTCCTGTAAGGCATGGCAAAAAAAAAACAAATTCAGTGCTCCAAAATGTTTTTGAAAGTAGAATTTTGAGAGTACCAATTTTTTTTATTTTTGCCACGCCTTCTAGGAATCTGATTTCTAGACGAATTTTTGCAAGCACTTAAAACTTTTGTCAATGTTTCTCCCTTTTTTTTTAGTTTTTTCGATTTTGTTTTGATTTTACTGTTCACCCGAGCTCATTTGAGCTCGGGTGCAGAAACTCTGCGTCCCTACTCTTCGGCCTTCGATTCTTCGTCTGCCATTCAGAAGACTTCATTGTTTTCTCAACACTTTTAGGGTTCATAATCTTTCGGTTAAACAAAATCCCCAGAGACTTCCATATATGTACACCTAGTAAATACATTACTCCCTCTACCATTTTGCCATTAATCATCACAATCCACCGGGGCACTACATGCACCTAAACCAGACATTCTGTCTAAAAGAAAAAAAGACATTTCCCGACATACACCAAGCAATTGTGTGTGCTTGTATGGATGTCCTTCTCCTTTTCTCGCCACATAGTTAGTCTTGTTTTTCTCGGAAATTGGTTTTAGCTCCCAGGCTCCATGGAGCCTAGATTTTGGAAGTTTCAAAAATCTAAGTTTGATGTATCAAGATATTCTGGAAAAGAATGCACACATACATATGGATGTATACTACTGATGAAATATATTTTTATCCGAGCTAAAATAAATCATGTATTTCTAGCCCATCTACCATCCACTATAAAAATACATGGGGTTTTCTGTGTTTAGCTCACATCAAAACCAATTTTATTATGAAATTTAACACACATGTAGTATAAATGTCTATATACATGTGTTTTTTTTATTTTTTCTGAAATAAATAAGTTATTTTTAAATTTTAAGAATATCAGGCTCCACATAGCCGGGGAGCCAAAAATCCTCGATCTGTTTTTCAATAGTACTATAATATACTCAGTGCAGCTGGGGCGTGCCCCTCGTTCTCTTAAGAAAAATGACGATGAAGATCTCTTGCCGGGCGCGCGATTTCGGCACAACATCAGCCACTCAGCCGGCGGATTATAAATATAAAACCTCCACACAAATCTCGACATAAGATCTATAATGACTTAGATGTACAATACTTATGGCACATCTAGATGTGTTTTAGCAAAACTGATATAAAAACAAATCACTCGTCTCCGTGGCCACCGCATGCGTCGGCGCGTCCGTGGCAGGTGTTTGCATGGCAGCCGAACACGTCTGCGATTTGTTGCGAGGGCATGGGACAGACCGACGAAACGGGACTACTATCGTCCAAATATTTTTTTTGCACGATAATACGTGTCTCATTCATATCATAAAGATTAAAGTATAAGTCACGTAAGGACCGACATGACAAAACTGAAAAGATAGCAGAACATCTCTGAGCTTGACACCAACGCCCATCACCTGCCTCCGGCACCACGACAGCAGCCACCGAAGAAAAGAAGGATGGATCACCTCCTCACCCGAGCTCGACGCGGCTCCATCGCTGATATGCAGCTTTGCGGACCTCCAAGGTGGCTCACCAGAAGTGAAGCCCTTACTGTTGAACGAATCAGACCGGGGCAACACCCCGGACACGCCATCGAACTCCAGATCTGGCACCCCACCGCGACTAAGACATCGCGGAAGGAAACCATACCTGTCATCCACGAACCACGAACCCAGCACATGTTCCGTCTTCCAGATGTTGTCGATGCAGACCACAATCTGCATTCGCTCCTGCACTACCTCCCAAGCTCTGCGCCGACGCTGGAGCAAACGCGCCGTCGCAACGGCGGAGCCCGAGGACACAGGTCCACCACGAGGATGCCGCCGCCGCCATGCCATCCTTACTTGAACAGACTGGTTTTCAAATTCATCCCCAATCATGGGACCAATGGCCTTGTCAAGGAAGGATCCGAAGAATCTTTATTCAGTGCTGTCATCGTCGCCGCCGAAACAAAGACGATGAACAGCCTAAAATTTAAACTATAAGGGAGTAAAAACGATCCACACGCGTGAATCTGGCGACCCCCCTCACAACCGATGACCGAGGTCGCCGGCAAGGGGAACCGCCGGAGGACGGCGCTCAAAGATTGGGTCTCCTGGCGGCGGCTAGGGTTCCAGCCGCCAGGGACAGGAGGAAAACGATTCACAGCCGGAGAATAACGAAGGACCCGTATCCGTCGTACTATCGTCCAAATTTAGCCACCAGCGCATCCCTTGGTATTAGTAGGGTACTAGTATAGTACTGCTCGTGTCCCTCGTGGTTGCCCGGCATCAATGGCCTCCACATGGTTCACTTCATGCCACATGCACCGGATCAAATCAAATGCAATAAACAGCAATCCTCTCGGGAAGACGCCTGGCTCTTCCCGTTCGTGATGGGCCGGCCGGATAGATTACGGAGTTACTTGGCTTGATCCCCGATAAATTACTGCCATAATCATAGACATCTCGCCCGTGTGTATATAAAGGCCGGCGCTGGCCTCCCAGTTCTCCCATCCATTGCCATCCATCTCTGCTCTCTAGTGTGAGCAGCAATGGGGTTCATTCACAAGGGTGGGGTTTGGTGCTTCCTCCTGCTCGCCGGGGTGCTGCTGGCTGCGGCGGCGGCAGGCGCGGAGCAGGACGATGGGGCGGTGGCCACTGCCGTGCCGAAAGTGGTGGTGGAGGAGGTCCGTCTGCGCGTCGATGATCCGGAGGAGAACGACTCGTGCGACCTCAAGTGCCAACACCACCAAGTTCCGGCGAGGAAAAAGCAGTGCGTGGACGAGTGCCACAGCCGGGAGCATCACCACCCCAGCAGAGCGTCTTGCGAGACCAAGTGTAGCCACTGGCAAGACCCGACGAGGAAGGACCAGTGCGTGCAACAGTGCATGCGCCGCGGCCTCAGCCTCGCTGTGGGCGGCGGCAACGACGTCGACGAGCACCGCCACGCCCAAGAGGAGGAGGTCGCCGGGCGTCCGTGCGGCAGGGAGTGCCAACTGTCTTGCCAAAGGAAGTGTCAGGGCTGGAAAGATCGGACCAAGCACCAACAGTGCGTGCGACAGTGCGTTCGCGGCAGCAACATCGTCGACGACGAGCACCTCCGCGGCTGGGAAGCGGTGGCCGGCGCCATCATCAAGGCGGTGTGAGTGTCATGTCACGCACCTAATAATAATAGTAATAATGTAAGGGTGTGTGCAAGTCCTAGTACGTACGTACGTACGTGTCACCGGGGTACGTACTTAGTAGCTCTACACGGAGTGTGCGTATGTGCACGCTTCGTCTTGCTAGGCCAAAGGCGTGAGAATAAAAAACCAATAGCGTGCGGTAGCTGCATGCTTGGCGATGCCTCTTCTCCTAGGCTCCTAGGAGTAGAAGAGAGCTGCATGGAACTCGTGTTCCTTTTACTTGTTAGCAGTGCGTGAGAAGAATAAAAGAGCAATAGCTAGCGTTAGGGCGGTAGCTGCGCGTTTTAGCGCCGCCGCTCCAAAGAGGAAAAGGAACACGCGTTTGGCGTCCTTGTTTTTCTTTTCATCATTCTCACCTCACCAAAAGAAAAACCGTCTTATCTTATCCATCCGCTGCGGCTGCGGTTGGGACCCACGTACGCCAGCCGTGCGAACAAATCTTCTCTCTCTTCGTCCTCTTCGCACCTCCTTTTCCTCTTGATGATTGTTCGCCGGAATGCCCGCGCGCGTCTGCGTACACGCGCCCATGCATGCTCCGGCGCTAAGAAGAAAGCACCACTATCAAGCGAGGTAGCAGCCTCCCTCTTTGGGCCGTGTGCCCACACGCACACGTATCCCCTTTCCTCCTCGATCGATCGTACGTGGAGGCCGTGTCCTAGCTAGGCCGAGGAGCGGCCGTACGGTACGTCGTCCATGCATGCCGCGGGTGAGGCGAGCACGGTGCCGCGCCAAAATGCGCCTAGCTAGCTAGCTGCAGGATTAACTGGCAAGTTACGCGCGTGCACAGCAGCCAGAGCGACGATGTACAGGGGAGGCCGGGATCATGCTGCGGTCACCACCAACAACAAGGTCGACGATCTATCGCTCCTGTTGATTGACCGACGGCGAGGACGAAACGTCTTTCGTCTTCTCCAAGTTTCCACGTCTTGTCTTCCCGGCCCCCACGCATGGACGGGACGGGTGTGCTCTATCGTCTTTCGTCTGCTGCTGCGTGCTTCGGTTCGATCGGGACAGCGGTGCTCAAACGTCACCTCTTTGTCTGTGAGCTAGCTGCCCCCGCACCGCTCCAGCTGGATGACATGCATTCGCATTCCATCCACAACGTCCGTCCTCGTGGAGTGGAGTGGACACCCTGCCGTGGGCGAGCTCCAGGAAGGACCGTCGTCCCTGCCGGCGAGCGCGGCGCCGTCAAAGACGCCTAGCTAGGTGTGCCGAGGACCCGTACGTGCAGCGGGGACAAGGCCCGGCCGGGTACGCTGGAGTCTCTGCAGCCTGGGGCGATGAGGATGCACAGGTGGGCGAGGACGGATCGACGTGCATGCATGCATGGGAGCTGCCGGATCGAGATGTACTACGTACGTACGCGTCTCCGATCCTGCCTACGTGCACGCATGCTTGCTTGGAAGTACACAACTCAAATCAAAACCCAATGAGACGATCATGTCATACTCCATCCATCTCAAGGGATCCATCCTTTTTAATTAGCTGACTACTCTACGATAGCAAGCCGTGTTTGTTGGTGGATGAATCTGTACAAGCATGCATGAACTACGGCGTTTCGTTCCTCCTCTTCTTCTTCTTCTTCTTCTTCTTCTTCTTCTTCTTCTTCTTCTTCTTCTTCTCCTGAAAAGGTTAGAAGGCACATGTCATGTTTCAATTGTTGGAAATATTGTAACGTACGTGGTAGCCTTGAGCTTCACGTATAGGATTAGGATAGTAGTTAGAGGATCCTTTTATCTTTCTATCTTTTCTTCTCTCCCTCTCATGTAATCCTCCTCCACGGTTGGAGATCTCAACCGCACCATGTACTCCTACGAGACTAATCCTCTCGTCACAATCAATATATACCTCGCGGGCTCTCTGTATGAGAGTTGAGACGCTTTACCAATCTTAACATGGTATTCAGAGCCATCTTCTTCCTCCACATCTAGCTCTCCACCAGATCAAACCTAGCCGCCATCAAAAACCTCCTTCAGATCAGAACCTAGCGCCATGTCTTCTTCCTCCAGTTCGGCTTCTTTCTCTAGCTTGAACAACACAATCTCCAAACCCCTTAGCCGCACCAACTACATCCTATGGCGTGCCCAGGCTTGCTCTCAGATCATGGGAGTCGGCCTCTATGGGTATGTTGACCAAACAATCCCTGAACCTACCAAAACAATCTCGTCCAAGAACTCTGAAGGAAAGGAACAGATTGTTCCAAATCCAGCCTACACCCCTTGGTTAATCCAAGACCAGCAGATCGTAGCCTACCTGCTGAGAAATCTCTCCAAAGAAATCCTAGTTCAGGTTGCCTCGATGGAGACATCGCACGCGATCTGGACATCCACTAGTAGAAAACGGAGCTTTAGCGCCGGTTCGTAAGGGTCTTTAGTGCCGGTTCCATAACCGGCACTAAAGGGTGGGCACTAAAGCCCCCCCCCCTTTAGTACCGGTTCGGCATGAACCGGCGCTAAAGTGCCACCACGTGGCGTGAGCTCGCGCCCTGGTATGGGGGACCTTTAGTACCGGTTGGTGTTACCGGTTTTTTTTTTTGAAATTTTTTTTTGAATTTTTTTTCCGATTTTTAATTTTTCTGAATTATTTGATGATTTAGTCTCTAATCGCCTCTCTTAACTGCTCAAGTGTGGATCACTCATTCCAAATTATCTAACTTCCCGACCGGTCACCCATCCCTCTCACTACTCCAGCCCAAGCACGCTTAACTTTCGGGTTCTATTCTCCCTCGTTTCCAAGTCTGCACTTGTTGTTTTCCTGACAATAGTAAGATGTTAATCCTATTAACCCTCAGGAGTTTAGCTTGAGCATGAAGCGTTATGACAACGCGGTCGATGTAGTCGTACGTCTTCACGATCTCTGACCGATCCAAGCACCGAACGTACGGCACCTCCGAGTTCAGCACACATTCAGCTCGATGACGATCCCCGGACTCCGATCTAGCAGGGTGTCGGGGATGAGTTCCGTCAGCACGACGGCGTGGTGACGATGATGATGTTCTACCGATGCAGGGCTTCACCTAAACACCGCAACGATATGACCGAGGTGGAATATGGTGGAGGGGGGCACCGCACACGGCTAAGGAACGATCACGATGATCAACTTGTGTCATGGGGTGCCCCCTTGCCCCCGTATATAAAGGAGGGAGGGGGGAGGTGCGGCCGGGCCCTTGCAAACATGTTCACAGCCCAATCCGCATCCCGTGTGAATAACCTCAGAATCTCTCCGACCAATGCCCACAAAGGTTCCCAATCTGCTGCTTATTTTGGTCATATGAGGTCTCTTTCGGATGAACTTGCAGCTGCAGGAAGGCCTATCGGGGAACCGGAGCTACTGTCCTTCATCATCGCGGGGCTGGACATGGATTACCAGTCCATCATCTCGGCCATGGATGTCCGCGTAGAGCCCGTCTCCGTTGATGAGCTGTTCGCCATGGTGGCGAACTTTGACCAGCGGGGCGAGCTTTTCCATGGCTCAGGTGCGGGCGGCTTCAAATCCTCGGCCAACATGGCTGCAAGGAATCACGGCGGCGGCGGCAAAAACAACTACCGAGGCTCGCCCAAACCCACTAATGGTGGTGGTGGCGGGTACCGCGGTGGTGGTGGAGGCAACAACGGCGGTGGCGGCTACTGTTGGGGAACGTTGCAGAAAATTAAAATTTTTCCTACGGTTTCACCAAGATCCATCTATGAGTTCATCTAAGCAACGAGTCTAGGGAGAGAGTTTGCATCTACATACCACTTGTAGATCGCGTGCGAAAGCTTGCAAGGTGATGATGTAGTCGTACTCGACGTGATCCAAATCACCGATGACCAGCGCCGAACGGACGGCACCTCCGCGTTCAACACACGTACGGAACAGCCACGTCTCCTCTTCTTGATCCAGCAAGGGAGGGAGGAGAGGTTGAGGGAGATGGCACCAGCAGCAGCACGACGGCGTGGTGTTGATGGAGCTGCAGTACTCCGGCAGAGCTTTGCTAAGCACTATGGAGGTGGATGAGGTGTTGGGGAGGGAGAAAGAGGCAACCAAAGGCCAAACCGTTCAGGTATGAAGTCCCTCCTCTCCCCCACTATATATAGGGGTGCCAAGGGGGGGTGGCCGGCCCTAGGAGATCCAATCTCCTAGGGGGTGCGGCGACCAAGGGGGGTTTTCCCTCCCCCCAAGGCACCTAGGAGGTGCCTTACCCTCCTAGGACTCTTGCCCCCTTGAACCCTAGGCGCATGGGCCTATGTGGGGCTGGTGCCCTTGGCCCATTAGGCCAAGGCGCACCCCCTTACAGCCCATGTGGCCCCCCGGGGCAGGTGGACCCACCCGGTGGACCCCCGGGACCCTTCCGGTGGTCCCGGTACAATACCGATAACCCCGAAACTTGTCCCGATGCCCGAAATAGGACTTCCCATATATAAATCTTTACCTCCGGACCATTCCGGAACTCCTCGTGACGTCCGGGATCTCATCCGGGACTCCGAACAACATTCGGGTTACTGCATATACATATCCCTACAACCCTAGCGTAACCGAACCTTAAGTGTGTAGACCCTACGGGTTCGGGAGACAAGCAGACATGACCGAGACGCTCTCAGTCAATAACCATCAGCGGGATCTGGATACCCATGATGGCTCCCACATGCTCCTCGATGTTGTCATCGGATGAACCACTATGTCGAGGATTCGATTAAACCCTGTATGCAATTCCCTTTGTCAATCGGTACGTTACTTGCCCGAGACTCGATCGTCGGTATCCCAATACCTTGTTCAGTCTCGTTACCGGCAAGTCACTT